CCCAGCTCCATAGAGAGAAACCCTGCACTAAACACTTTAATACCCGTGAGTTATGGGGCAGGATCTTTAGCTAGAGACACATTCAATGTTGCATGTGTTAGGTTTGGCAGTAAGATGGCTATGGCTAGACACACACTTACACATTTAACAAATGTTTTTGATATCTTGATAATCATAACATTGTTAATTTCTTGTGGTTTTGAGTTTGAAAAGATAATGAACTGCAGTTGAATTAGAACTCAACAACTTCACTTGTAATTTGGATCGGTCACTCATTTGTTTTGTTTTGCATTGAATTGCTAGGGACTAGCAATAAGCAAGTTGGGGGGGTGTGATAAGAGTGTAAAATACCATATTTTCCCCTCTTAATTATTGCATTCATGTGATTATATTATGCAAAAATGCACTCATTACTCTTATGTTTTGGTTTAGGTTGCATTTTGGTGAAAACGGTGAAATTTGGAAGAAACAAACGAAAAGGGACCAAAGCGAGAAGAAGTGAAAGTTCAGGACCAAGTTGCAAATAATTCATAGATGAGACGGGCAATGGAATGATGATTTGAGAAATTTAGGAGTCCATTGGTGCAATTAGAAGTCAAAAGAAGTTAAATATGCCTATAATATTTTCACAAATCAAATTCCAACCGGATAAAAGGATTTTTAGATTTTGAGCCGAAGATTGAGATCAACGTTTGACCTAGTAAACGTCCGAATTTGGAAAGAGCTATTTCAATCAAGATTGTAGTACTTTGAGTTATATTTCCAATGAAACTTGAATCACCTCAATTGAAAGTCGGGAGAGGAAGTTATGACCAAAATACTGAAAGCAGTCGCACAGAAAATTCTGGCCGAAAATTTACTTTCCTTATTCGGTTCAACCTCTTGTGGAAACGCGTTTTGCACACGGTTTTAACCCCCAAAAACGTCCCAGAACGCCTCCATTCTGCCTGATACGCTTTTCCCTCATCCTTGGCACAAGACTTCATGAAGAACTAAAATCTTTGGTGAAGCTAAGAAGGATCTCGATCGGATTTGGTGATTTCAATATCTTTTCTTTCATATAATGTGATTTTTATTGTTGAATATCTTTGGGATTTATATATCTTCTTTATTATTATACTTTTAATGTTTGTTTAACTTTTATTAAATTGTTCATGGATTCAATTATGTTTTTTCCATTGAATGACTAAAATATTGGTTGAATTTAAATTTCAATTGAATTATTGACGTGATTTGATTATTGCTCTATGCTTAAGGTATATTGTCGCTTCTTGAATCTTGTTTCAATAAATAAATGCCGAATATGTTGTTAGGAATTCTAAATTCCAGGATTGCAAGTGAAATTAAATAAATATAGGTTTCCCTTTTTGAATTGGTAATTGAAATTGGTTCAATTCTTATTAGATTTTTCATAGAATTAGTCACGCTCTTTCTATTGTTTGATCGAAATATTTATTGAGTTTCAATTTCATGTATGTCGTAGATGAATTATTTACTTCCGTATGCTTGATGTATATGGATGCTTCTTAATCTGATTTCAATAGACTAAAGTAGGAATATGTTATAGAAACCTTGATTTTAGAGTAAAATGTATGAATGATTAATGTTGATTGATCCAATCCGAGAGAGTGAATTTCGGTGCTTCACTATTTTGAATACTGATATTTAAATCCCACTTCAAATTGAAAACTCACTTCACAAAATCACGAAAACCACAGTTTGTTTGATCCTTTAAACAATTTTCTTTCTCCCTATGGATACGACTCCCCAAAGCTGTACTACAATCACCGCGTTATACTTTGGACGTAATCAACAAACAATTGAAAAACAAAAAAAAATGGTATTGGAAATCCCCTACTACAGTGTGGCATATACACCTTAGACTTGCATGTTTTGATCATGTAGGAATTAAAATTAATAAGTTGTAGCATAATTTCAATTACTTGCTTAGGTTAGTATGGATTACTTAGTATAAGTGTCTTAATGTACCATCTGTACTACACACACTATAAATTTGTCTGTGGGGCTCAACTGCGTGTGTGAGATTTGGGATAGTTATCACATGTTAATATGATGTCCTTGAACATGAATTGACCATTTAATTAGACCTAAGCCCAAAAACTTCCCCATTTTATGATAAAAAGCTCCATATCTTAATGTCCTTCTTCGGAACCTGGTTGACTCGAGCAATCAAGTTTGAGGGTCTCTCAAAACTTTTGCCTATGGTCAACTGACTTGGGTTAACCGGCCTAAAGTTCGATACATGGGCAATCTAGTTGCAAAATGGAGAAAGACCTACACTTAAGATGGAAAGATTTGTTGAGCTTTGAAAATCGTTGAAAAATGTGAAAGAAGAATGTTAAGTGAAATATGGGCTAGAAAAATGTGAAAAAATAGAAAAATATGAAGGCCCAATGTAAGGGGGAGAAAATTGAAAAATAATGAGTATAGGTCCTGATGCATTACATGTTTTGACTTTCATTAGTAGAGGAATATACTTATTCGCAGTGATTAACATGTTCTTTCTCACAAATCTAAGGTTTTGAGTCCTGCTTGCATTGAATTAGTGACACTTTTACACAAATGAGTCACTTGTATTATTTACTCCATTCTGACTTTACTGAGTATGTGGGAAGGGGTTATGACTTATTGGTTCTAATTTTTGCATTCTATCGACTGCATTTTTAAGTTGTTGTATGTTTCGCTCTACCTGATTTTAATTTTCTTAGACATTTGTGACAAAAAGGGGGAAATGAATGTGAAAAAGGGAGAGCATATGCATAGGGATAGAGAATCTGATTGCATTTGATTTGCTCATTTTTGCATTGATATGTCTAGAGGTCGTTCAGGAGAGACATAGATACATTTACCTAATGCATAAATATTTATGAGAGTTTGTAATAAGTGAGAGCATTCCATGTACTTCACTGCTCTTTGAATTTTGATGTTTAGTGATGTTGGTGTGTTCATTTGGTGTTTTGATTGACATCAATATTATGTCTCAACATGCTTTTTGATTTGTGATTAAATGTTATTTATTACCTTTCCTATATCACGTGCTTTTACACTGGCTATTGAGTTTGTGGATTTCATGATACAGGTTTAACAAAGAATGCTACTGTGGTTATTGAATAGATTAGTTAAGCCCTTGCTTGTGATTTTTAGAACCTTAACTTCATTGTGTAGTGTTTTGTCACAGAATGTCAAATGGGGAGTTTGTTAGGTCTAACATTGCAATTGGGGATTCTATGAAAAAAACGGGTTTAATTTGATGTTTGTAAAAGTCAAGGACTTAGATGAACAATTGTAATAGTTCATGGACTTAATTGCAAATATGTAAAGTTGAGTTATGGGTAGAGGTCGAGCTTGGAACAAGGTTAAAGATACGTCGGATTGTCGCTAGCTGCTTGCCAAGATTGTCGACCGCTTCTCGCCGCGGTGTCGCTTGAGTGAAGTCACATTCCTCGCTTTTTGCTCGACGTCGCTCGCACAGATATAAATACTAAGGCCATAGACAAAAACATAAGATTGTTACATTGTGCAAAACATCTTCATACATTCATATTGTTCTTTGAGAGATCCAAGGCGAAATTCAATGTTGAATTCAAAAACATCAATCTTGTGATCCGGCAACCTGTTTTAGAGAAAACATCGAGGCAAGAATCCAAAACACCTTTGGCTTCCTTAATTTATTGAGGAAGAGACTCTCTCATTGAGGATTGAGAGAGGTGGACTTCAAGCGCAATAAAAGGCACAATAATAAGAGGTCATTATGTTCCACTTGGAGAGACATTCAGCATAAGATCAAGAGGCTATAGGAGACAGCAGATTGTACTACAGGAGGTAGATCAGGAGATCTAGCAGGAGGCTAGAGGTATCTATGGCAATAGGAGACCGCAGGAAGTAGATCAAGAGGTTTTGTAAGCTAGAGGTATCTACGGCAGTAGATCCTAAGATCGGAATAGCGGGTCTTATCAGGTACAAAGCTTTGCGAGGTTGTGTATTCATTGAATTGATTATAGTGGAGGTAATTGACTTAGTCCTAGAGTCTTTCACACATTGGGTTTCTTCATCATCATATCATGTGTTGATTTATTTGTTTACAATATTACAACTACAGTATTCAAACATAGAGATAATTGGACTGTATGCTTAACCATCTAGAAACTAATTAAAAGTGACTTGTTGCTTTAATTAATTAATTCCGCACGTAAGGTCAAATTGGTAATTTGGTCGATAGCACTGAAAGTTGAATTTGGTGATCAACGCATTTCCTATGAATTTTCAATTTTTGGATTTGGCCTAATGGGAGAGAAAAAAAGGGGGGGCGAAAAAAAATAAAAGAAATTAGAGTGTGTTTGATTAACTTTATTTTTCATGAAAAACGTCATTTTTCCTCTTAAATTCCTACTTTATTATATTCATATTTTCCAAATAATTCATTCACACGCACGCGCGCGCGCACTCTCTCTCTCTCTCACACACACACACACACACACACACATTTACCCATCTATAAAAGAAAGACAAATATAACATTTTCTAGATTAGAAATTAAAATCAATCAAATACATTTAATTAATAAATTTCATGTTCTTTCCACACAAATTCTATGTTTACAATCAAATACACCCTTAAGGAAAAGAGAAATCAATATATTCATATATTTAAGTGTGATTATTACAATGTTAAGCCTCCTCTTTAACAAACCAAATAATTTAGGGATAATTGCAGCAGTGGTCACAAACCTTTGAATTTTTTGCAAACTTTACCTTAACCTTCACTTTGTACTATTCACAGTCCCAAACCTTTTAAAAATAGCACATGGGGTCCAAATGAATGATTTCCATTAGTTTAATCATTAGTTGAACCAAATAAATTGACTTTCATCAACTTTAAAGGGGTAAAGGGGTAAAATAGTAACTTTGAATTAAAATTGAAATACTAAAACAAAAAAAACTAAACCCAATCACTATTCATATTCTCTTTCCCACATTCAATCCCACACCCAATCTCCTCTTAAACCCAAAGCCTATTGGGTTCCATTTTACTTTGGGTGAATGCAAGTACATTATTCAAGATATTGATGCACACTCTGATTGGGTTTCTTGTGTCCAATATTCTCCTAATACACTTTAGGTGACTATAGTTTCTGGGTCATGGGATAGGACAGTGAAAATCTAGAATTTGAGAAATTGCAAGTTGAAATCCACCTTGGCTGGGCATACTGAGTCGGTTAATACAGTGGTTGTTTAGCCTGATGGGTCCTTGTGCACGAGTGGTGGGAAAGATGGGATGATATTTCTATGGGATTTGGCGGAAAGGAAGAAGCTTTACTCGTTGGGAGCTGGTTCAACTATTCATTCACTTTGCTTCAATCCCAACAGGTATTTGCTTACTGAAGCCAGCATTAAGATTTGAGACTTGGGTTTGCTGGAGTGTGAGGACGAGGAGGAAAGAAGTAGAGAGGAGTTGTTGGTGAAAACATTATCATAGTCGGTTGAATAGGACATGCATAGAGGGGTAAAACGGAACCAACTAGTATTGGGTTTACGAGGAGGTGGGTTGTGGAGATGGATATGAGAATGAGAAGATGAATGGCAATTGGGTTTTTCCTAAGAATGTTTTAATGAGGTATATTCTTTGTGTAATGAATGTCAATAACCTGAAAGACATTTACCCTCAAAACAACATAAGAAGTCAACAACCCTATCTTCAATGTCTCTCTCACGCCCACAAATCCACTCCACTTTCCACAACGCGCCTCTCTGTTTTCCTCCCCAAATCGCTGACATCAGCCGACGGTCGGCTGATAGTCCATGGTCTAAGGGTCGCCAGTAAGTCCTCTTTTAATTTCATGCTTTTTTCTTTGATTTTCACTTTTCCATGCTTATTATTCTCAATATCTTCCATGATTGATTTCACAAGAAAAAGGCTGTTTTCTACATATGTGCTGTTTGCACTTTCAAGAATAAAAAAAGATTCAATTAGAAAAGATTAAAGTTAAGTTTAAGCTAATATTGCACTTTCTAGTATGCCTTTGCCACATCAAATGAATCATGGCCGACTTTTTCTTTCATAGCATTATTAATTTTGCCATCTCTGGTATTGGAAGTTGGAACTGTTCTTTGGTTTTTGAAGTCTTAAAATGAACAATAAAGCTTCTAGTACAGGGGTTGGCTTTAGAGGGGCTTTACAGGATTTTGAAAAATTGGGACAACACAGGAATCAGATTGCCATGAAGTCTTAACTGTTGTTCCAGTAGTACATATTATTGAAAAAAGGTTTGCCATAACTGTTGTTTTTTAAATCAGGATCCAAGTATTTTGCTATCTTATGTAACTAGCAAGAAGGTGTTCTCTTTGGACTTTTGGTGACCGGTCAGTAATACTGGATTATAACTTCTATTTCAGTTTTTAGGTGTGCACTTCTTGCTTTTTTTCCCCTTCAACTTGATGTTTAGTAGGACACGTCTTTCCTTCTATTTACTCTTTTTGTGCTGTAAGCATTCTCAAGACTACTTTGTTAAAATTGTTGTGTTAGGGTAACATCTTTAATGGTGTATAAATTGCCTTTAGAGTATCAGCGGAGTTAGGTGCTACCTATTTAGGCATACGTGTGTGAACATGGTTTAGGGAGGGATGCTATGTGGACTGCTATTACTCATATCTCTATTTTGAAAATAGTACTTAGTGAATCCTAATTTGCAAGCGAAAAATATGCTAACAGATTTCATAGATAATATGCACTGCCAATTTATTGAATTTCCTCGCAGTCTTTTGGATTCATATACACCAGCGCCATTCGTGGACAATTGGTGAACTACAAACCAACCAACCCGACCGAACTTGATTGAGTTGGGTTGGGTTGGTTGGGTTTAAATATGTAATTGGGTTAATTTTATGCCAAACCTAACATGTTGGGTTTAGGTTGAGTAAAAATCCAACCCACGCCCACCCCTACAAGAAGGGACATATATGTAATTTTATTATTTTAAATAAATTTTAGGGCCAATGAATAATAAACTTCCAAGCATAGGTCAAAAAGTTTTAAAACCTCCACCATAACCACTCAAAATTGATCTGCTCATAAAAACTAAATACAAATACTTTAAAAAACACTCATAACTAGTACGTCGAAACTCCCAAGAATGCTCTAAGAGACTTTATAAATATAAAATACTTTTTATTTTTAAGAGTTAATGCAAAAAAATAAACTTTTAGTGACTCAAAGTTTCATATACAATTACTGCATTTAATAAGTTACAGATTTCAATACTATATTTCTTAAATTATTCAAACCACATTTTAATTCACTGACCATTGACATACAAAATATTATGTAAAATAAAATATGAGGAGAAATCAATAAACGTTCCTTGAGAAAAACAAAATGAAGAGAGTCAAAATCAAGAGCGTTGTTAGAGTGTCTAAAGATTTTAATTCTCTAAATTTAAAGATATTTCAATAATGCATCATTATAAATAAAGAATCTCTTATTGATACTCTTACACTAGCTATTTAAAGAGCTATCTTATCCTATCTTGTCTTGCTTAGATAAGCAAAAGCAATTCACTATCAAATGTAGTCTTCTTGATATATCAAGTCTAAATGGTGAGACGTTTAACAATTTTGAAGGATAGGAAAGTTGGTATGGATTCTAAAACCTAGCCAAATTACAAATGTGTTTTAATTATACTATTTCAACTATGGATAGCAGTCAGTCAAAATATATTATACTCAGTTTCAAATAGTTTTGATTGCAATGATGTAACTTGGTAAACTCTAAAAGGAAACATCCACCACCCCATACCACAGGTCAAACAACACAATTCACTACATTAATTGATCAAAAATACAATTATCAATTTTGTAATTTCGCAAAATTAACAAAAAAAATAATCAAAAGAAATCTAAGAACAACTCCCCAATATTTTTTTCTTTTGACTTGTTAATGGAGTGGAAGCAAATCCTCCGGTCTTACTTTATCACCACTTCTCTATAAAACTAATGAATTGAAAAGACAAATCCATTTTTTTTTCTTTTTTTGAAAAACCCATGAAGCATGCTTTCAATGTTTAGTACTTGTCTACATCATGGTTTGAAAACGGCACACTATAAGCTTCTTTTATGAAGATTTAACTCCTAAAACAAAACAATTTGTGGAAACAATATGTAATGGTGAATTTTTAGATAAAAATCTTGATCGAGCTTTGAAATTTTTAGGTCATATAGTTGAAAATTCTCAATTTGGCAAACAGAGAAAGCGATCGAAAATTCAATCAGATCTAGTCTTGCTAGTTCTAGTGAAGGAAAATATCAATTGAGTCAAGAGAATGATTTAAATGTTAGGATTGTTACTTTATCTAAAAAGGTTGAAGCCATGTAATTACAATGATGATTGACCTAATTAGGGACGAACTAGTAAATTTAAGATTTTCATGTGTTCTTTTGGTTATTTATATATCCAAGGAAGAGTTGATTGTGTTTCTAAATAGGTAGAGGCAATTTCTTTTAAACATAATGATAACAAATTCATATTGAAATATTTGAAAGAAAAATTTTTGTCAAAATTTGGAATACCTCGAGCCATTATAAGTGATAGGTTTACACTTTTGTAATAGACCTTTTAAGGCCCTAATGAAAAAATATGAGATTACTCGTTAAGTGTCTACTCCTTATCACTCGAACACAAGTGGTCAAGCTGAACTTGCAAATAGGGAGACTAAACACATCTTAAAAAAACAATGAATTCAAATAGAAATGATTGGTCTTTACGTTAACTGATGCACTTTAGACCTACTGTACAGCTTTCAAAACACTTCTTGGTATGTCCTCTTATTGACATGTTTTTGAAAGCCTTGTCATTTACTTGTTGAATTAGAACATAAAGCATTTTGGGCTATTAAAATGTTCAATTTCAGTTTAGATAAGGCGTGTTCACTAAGGAAACTTCAACTAAACGAGTTGAAAGAAATCATGAATGAAGTTTATGAGAACTCTTGAATTTACAAGGAAAGAATGAAGGTATATCATGATAAAAATATTGTTGAAAAAACTTTTTTGAGTCTTTCCAAAAAGTTCTTTTGTACAACTCAATGTTACAATTATTTTCTAGAAAACTAAGATCAAAGTGGACTGGTTCTTTCATTGTTGAACCTATTTACCCACACGGAGCTATAAAAATTGAAGATGCAATTAAATAAAATATTTTTGGAGTTACATCGTTTGACTTCTTTTTTGAAAATCTCTCTAAATTAGAGGAGTCCATTGCTTTGCTTAGTATTAAATATTGATTTTTCTTTTCTCATTATCTGTTTATATGTTTCCCTTTAGTTTTGTAATATTGTGTTTATCTTAGGCGTGTTTCTCTTACTATTATTTTTCTTTTTTTGTTCTAATGACATTGAAGGTTCTCCTAGTCCAATTAAAATCCAAAGCCCATCTCTTTGTTCAAACTTTTGATATTTAATGTCCTTCATACATTTTTCAATGTTTAATCTTCGCATTGAGGACAATGATTCATTTAAGTTGGGGAGTAAGGACCATCCAATTTTTAGCAAAGAATATTATCTATGGTACATATAAACTTTTTATCATGTCCCGATTACTTCATTTTATAGCTACGACGAATGTAATGACACAAGTTCTTAAAAGAGATGAAAATCCGTATTGAGGGCATTCCATAAAAGAGTTATGCGACATGTACATCTAGCTTTACACCTAGTTTTTTTACTTATGTGAGTTGATAGAATTTTATACATTGATTTTAACAACAATTTTTTAAATAATGGACAAATTTCTAACACATGGGCAAGTGTCACAAGGGTGACAACAATGGGTGTACAAATGGCATAATCCTGCATAAAAATCCAAGCAAGTCTTTGAGCCCATAATATTCTTTGGAGAGTAACCATTTTACCCATCAATCTTCTATAACTATTGGTCCATATTGTTAAAAAAAAAATGTGAAAAAGGAGAGAGTGTTGTCATTTTGATGATCTTTGAGCATGTATATATAAATAACCAATTTATTTTTCTAAAAGATGATAGTAAGGGCATCTTTGATCCGTTTAACCCTTTTTGGCCTACCAAATAAATATATATCCTTAGTAACCACTTTGAAGCCTCATGTTCTTAAAAATATAATGATGAAATGAGAAAGAGAACTAGCTCAAAAGGCCTCTCTTCAAAAACAAATTCAAAACACGACAACATATAAATCTATACTTTCCTCTTTCATACTTTATTTATAAACCTCATATGTTCTTTCATTAGCCTTATCATAGCCTACGTTTTAACCAAATAAAAAGTTATTCTTTTTTTAATAAACAATGGTTTGAAATATATGCTTGTTACAATGAGATACTTAATACGGTGACACTAAAAAAGGATAGGGGAAAATAAAGAAAAAAATGGGAAAAAAATTGGTTTGACTGTCATTATTTGCAATAATGAGATCATTCATATTTTTTAAAAAGATATGGGCAATATTTTCCTTGTTTGGTGTGTGTGTGTGTGTGTGATATACAAATATTTTGTATGCTATATCAGGGGTATATTTTTCTTCCGAGTGTTATCTTGTTAGAATTTATGAAATTCAATGGTTACACATACAAATTACCAATTTTTTTTCAAGTAATTCACTCTCTCACACACACACACATTTATCACATCTCTTTAGCTCATTTACCCACCAATAAAAGATTGAGAAATATAACATTTTATAGATTAGAAATTAAAACCGGTCAAACATATTTAATTAATAATTTTCATTTTTTTCCATGCAAATTTCATGTTTGTAATCAAACATACCCTTAGGAAAAACAGAAAGGGTGATTATATTGCCACATCAAAATTTTATTGAACCACCACATTTTTTCTATTTACAAAAATAACCATAATTAAAATGACATAAATAACCACCAACACCCATACATTGTTTCATCTATTCTATGTACACCATGGATTCAAACCCTAACCTATACAGGATGGTGACCTTCCAATTTCGTTCATAATCCATGGTTTTTTCTTTGTCTTTTTACTCCATCATCTCCATTTAAGTTTGCAGTTGCTCAATTTTGTGTAATTTACTAGTTTCATCTGACCAGTGTATGTTTCTGGGTTATTGTCTTAAGGTGGTATGATTTTCTGTTATCTTCTTTCTACCTCTGTTATCCATAATTATTGCAGAGGGTAGATTTTCTCACAACAAACGCAAAAGAACTCGTGGAAATGAAATAATCATTAATCTGGATGTCTACAATGAGCTTGTAGGAAATAAAATAATCATAATCCTTTTAACTACCAAGAATATTTTCTATCTGATAATGCTTACTGATCTGAATTCGTGTCTCTCTCTCTCTCTCTCTCTCTCTCTCTCTCTCTCACAATTGGAGTCGGAATATATATATGTAAAATGTTTTTAGTGTAATTATAAAAAACGTGTTTTGATTAGTGGTGGAAAAAAAGAATGTGGTGGTAATATAATCATACTTAGGTTTATAATTGTGAATTTATCGTGGTGTATTTATCAAAAACATGTTTTAATTGTAGTTGGAGTAGGAAATAAATTTTTTAGTGATAATATAATTATCCACAAAGAAATCAATATATTCATATATTTAAGTGTGAATATTACATGATAAGCCTCCTCTTTACATGACTCTTGAGATAGATGTTTCTCTCTCTCCCTTGATTTGCATGACTTTCATTTTCCACTTGAATGTCCCACCGTATACACTCTCTGATTATTTATATGTATATTGTGGTATTGATATACAGATATAGATATGATTATGTTTGTGGATTCTTGCTTATTTTTTAAATTGACGCTTCAAAAGAACGGGGAGCAAAATGAAGTTTCATTAGAACTTTTGGTACCAAAAAAAAAGGTCCCTAGTATCAGCTGCTTCTCTAATCATCGCCTCACAAACCCGCCTCCAACATGGCTTCTGAGAAAGATGTTGCACTCTCCGTTGATCCGCCTGGTTCTCCTGTTACGGATGATTGTTTTCACAAGTGCGTATTTTATTTCCAGATTTCGTACTCGACTATCGAAGCTTTAATTTTTTTCAATTTCTCAAAGTTCGTTCCTTTTTTTGGGGGGGGCAGTTTCTAGCTTTTAGGGGTTTTGGTGGATTGGCACCATCAGAAGTTGTGATTGTCCCTAAAGAGAAATTGACAGGAGTTTCTAAGGTACCTTTTCCATATCTTTGAAGGCAACTTCATCTCTCCATTGTTTCACCATTTTAGGGAATGGCAATTTCAATCTTCAATTGTGGCCTCGATTTTGTCCAAATTTTATGTCAGTTTAATCTGATCTGAAATGTTTGGTCTTTTATTTTCTATGACCCCATTTTATAGGCTGAGGAGGAGCATTGTCAGATGCTTGGCCAGTTTCTTTACACTGCTAAGCGGTTTGGTAAACGAGAAGGCCTCCTCAATCGTGGCTTTTAAGAGTCGTGATTAATGATGGGCCTGATTGAGGTTAGTATTCTTTCTTATTTGCTTTTAACATTCAACTTTTAAGTAACTTAAAGTTGTTCTATCTGAAAGTCATTTTTGGACATGCCGATCCGGAGATTGCCTTCATATGGTATTCCTCGGGGGCCGAAAATTGAAATGGCCACCGGGTAAACTAAAGTTAGGATGTATTTCTGGTCGCTAAGGATGTAACAATCTATCAGTTTGCTTTATCGAGACAAATGGGTACCATGCATTTTATAAATAAATTTATTAAGGCAGCTCGTCTTGTACTAGAGCAGGTCAAACCTTTTAACCATCTGCTGTTATCAATTTAACCATATGTCCTTGTTATCACTATCTTGATGGGGCTTTTATCTTTGTGATCACAATCATTATGGGGCTTTATGTTTTTGTAGCTTATTTGAGTTACTGGTGATTGTTTGGATATATGAATAGCTCCATTTCTCCTAGATTATGCAATAGACAATTATTTAATCAGATGAATCTTACAATCTTATTATGTGGCTTAAGAAAAATGGTTGACAAAATAGACGAGTTTGTAACACAGGGAGTGAAGTTGCAAATAAGTGTACTTTTCTCATTTATATATATATATTTACTGAAAAATCTTATATATTCTATAAAGTTTGAAAAAAAATGTATGTACAGAGGGGGGACTACCGAACCATGTCCCCCCTCTCATATAACACGTGGGCCCCACGTGTATTAAATAATGTCGAGCCGTAGTCCCCACCTCTTATTATGAGTAGTACGTAAAAGATTAGGTAAAAAATTTCGATATGTGTAGCATGGTCCATAAAGTTTTACAAATTTTGAAATCAGATAATTACTTTTAAGACTGAAAAAAATGATGGATTGGCAAAATTCCTTTTTTTTTTTTTTTATAAGCAATTATAAAATATATTGAATAAGCCATTTTATATCAAAGAATATCTAAATAAAATTATTATTTCACGCTATAAGCGGAAATCTTTATTCTGTAAAATGAATAACTGAATTATGTAATCTGAAATTTGATAAACTGAGAAATCACGTCGAAAGGATACCTGAAATACACATAGTCATGTATCGATCAATATCAATGTACATGGCAAAGATATTCATATATAATAACTTTTGAATTGTGTAACTTTGATCATACATATGCAGAGCTATTTAAAGCTTGTATTTTAATCATACATTTTGAAAACACATTCAAAGGAGTATAAAGCGAGTAAAATCATCATAACTGATCATATACTGTGGAAATATATTTACACCACTGCAAAACTGGAAAAATAAATATATAGAGTCATACACTGTGGAAACATATTCACATAAGTGTAGACTAGGTAAAATCACCTAGGTATTTTTTAGTGGTTTTAAAATTTTGAGATATGGTGAAACATTTATACTTATACCGCCTGTGTCGTTTTTTTCAAAACTCGTTTTTAAGCTCGCATTCTCCTATAAAATAATTGTACATGCAAATTTAGAACTTTCCTTACTTTTTAATAATACATTCTCCAACAAAATACTATTTTAAAATGTACTTTGGGCAAAAAATATGGCTCATGTAGGGGCACGATATGTTGTGAAATGCTTTAAATGAACTAAATATAAATTTAATAGAATGATTATAAAAATTTATTTTATTCTGAAAAGTTGTCAAATCAACTATTCGAAATAAGTAATTTAATGAATAATATAAATTTAATAAGTACTTCATCTCTAAAATAAAAATAAGTTTTTCCAATCACAAAGTACGAGCTACAAACTAGGATGGTTCATAGACTTTTCCAACCTCCTCGTCATAGCCTAAAATACAATATAAATAACCAAATTAATAATTACCATATTAAGTAGCCATATTATTTAAGTACAATATAATAAAATGTGATTTCTCCATATTTGAATAAATTTCCCAAATTCCTTTAATCAATTGGAACTAATTCCAATTTACAGTCTATTTACCGATCTTTAATTTATCGAAATCACCTTCATCTCAAGCATTAAAGTAATGATTCCATCTTGCATTCTAGTGAAAACTAGGAACAATAATTGTACCAATTTAAATTCCATCTCTTTCCATAATTTCAATCGTGTTAGTAATGCATCAATACAATCATTTCCATTAATTACACATACTCAAGAACCCAATTTGAAAATCTTATGCAATTGAAAGTTAGGAATCAGTAAACTTAGGCTAGAAATTGGAATCTTTTCCCCCAATCTTAAAAACTAAGGGTTCATTGTGTTTCAGTTTTAAGTTCATTTTCAGTTTTTTTGAGGGTGTATTTTAAAATTTCTAAAACATGTTTGTTTGCCATTTTGAAAAATTATTTTTCAAAACATAAATCTAGAAAAACAATTTTGGTTTTAATTTTGAAAAATTATTTTATGATATTTTATTTAATGAAATTTGATTATCCAGTAAAAATATAACAATTTTATGTTAATAAATTATCATATAATAGTACATTTAAAATTAATAATTCTTACAATATTATATTCTCCCTACAAAAGTAAAATAAAAATAAAAACTGAATTGAGATTAAAATATATGAAATAAAAATAAAAAAGTTAATGAAGTGGACTGAGAATATATTTTTATCCGTGTTCACTTATATATTTATTTCGAGTTTTAATGTAAATAATCATTAAGAGCTTGGAGTATCTTTATTTATTATTTTTAACACTTTTATAATTTTATTTTTTTAATTTACTTTTCTTGATTTTTATTTTTCTGAAATTTATTTACATAAATTTTATACTTTTATTAGTCCTATGCTCATGCAGTGCTCATTGATCTTCTATATCACCATATCTCAAAGTGAGTTAAGAATATCAATCAAAGTGAGAAAAATCAACTAAAAATATCGAGACTCAAAGAAATTAAATTTAATTCACGTCCATTTTTTTACTAGATTTCAAGAATATACTTATATATAGATTACTTTAAGTTTTAACAAATATTCTTTTTATTCTCAATATCAAATATATAATGAGTTACTTATTTTGATCATAATATCTATCTTATGGTCAAAATAAGTAATTTTTTTATAAGTATGAATAAGTAATAAATGAAAACATACGTAAAAATAAAAAAAAATTACTTTTAAATTAAGAAAAATATGTAGTATCTCTAACTATTAAAATATTTACTTTTAGATCTAATCAATACAAATTATCTATAAAAAAATTTACTTAATAATTATAAGTAAATTTAGTCAAACATGCATTAAATAAAATATCTCATTTGATAATAAAATATTTACTTTTAGATCTAATCAATACAAATTATCTATAAAAAAAAATTTACTTAATAATTATAAGTAAATTTAGTCAAACATGCATTAAATAAAATATCTCATTTGATAATAAAATATTCACATTTCATAATTGTCATTGAAAGAGTAATTAATAATTGTAGTGTCTTTAATATAATTTAAATAATAGAACATTGGACTTAGATGGAAATTCAAACTAGAGTTGGGCTAATGCTAATATTTGGGCCAGAAGTCTACAATTTCCCCTTAGGTTTTTACATGGGCTAGGGGCAAGGCTGGACTGTATTTGGGCCAAAAGTCTAAAATTTCCTCTTAGATTTTTACATGGGCTGGGGATAAGCCCAGCCTTACCCTCCACTACCTCTGCCCCTACTCCTCATCAACATATATCAAGTGTATTGTTTTTTTTGTCTCAATGTCACTTTGAGATTGCTATGGAATAAGATCTTGTAAATTTATTATCGAAATCTAAATTCGAGAGATTCATAATTTCATCATAGTCGTCATAAATGTACCAAAAGTGCCTCCAGCAAATTCTCTTATCATTAGACAAAAATTGGTACCTCCACTCTGACCTCACTTGTAACCGCCACCTTTAGTTATGAAATAACCTCTTTACTAGTACCACAGTTTTCCATTTCCAATCCCCATATTATTCAAATCATTTAAAATTAAAAGTTGTATCAAATTCTTTTGGATTCACAAGTAACCTAATTAATCAATGCCATAGTCTCATTGATGTGAATCCGCGTAGCAACGAACACTACCGAACCCACAGGAGATTGCCACTCGATCCCAAGAAAGCCAAAGAATCAAGGTTTTGGATTCTATCCGTAAATAATGAACTAAGCAACTGAAAGTATATGAAACAATCGACCTCTTTATCACACTATAATTGAATAGCACCCGAAGTTTTCAATTTGATTTAATAACAATGAATCAAGAAACCCAACAATAACGAAGATGTGAAGGACCCCTTGATTACAAGATTTTAAAATCGCACCCAAATTGTGAACGCCACAAGAAATATAATTCCTTGATGAGTTCGATAAAATTGTTCCACAAGAACAAATAATTGAAGCAAAGCTTCAAGAGAAAATCTTAATTAATTCATCATGAAATTTGTGATACAATAATGAAGAAAATTCCTATTTATAGGAGAAAACATAGAAAACTAATTAAAATAAATCAATCGCCTAAGAATATGGTAAAAACGAGATTTAGAGTCCTAGAAATATAAAACTTGCCAAAATTACAGAAGTTTAACCAAAATAAACAACTCGCGAGAAAACTGGAAAATTCTGCCCCCGGATTTGTCTATGCTACCGCATAGCATACATTGGTGCGATCGCATGGTTCTCCCGATTTCAGCCAGCCAAATCCCTACCTCGGTGCTTGTGGCCGAATGAGTTTATTAACCATGCGGTCGCATGGTTGTAGATCAAGGCCGGTTCTTCCAATGCTTGCAACCAGTTGAACCAAGTTATCTCTTCCCTCAAGCCCTTCATAGAACTTGTTCCTTGGCATGTTAATGTCCACATTTTGAACTCCATAACTTGATTACGATAACGACCTCTTTATCAACCCAATTAACCCCCAATTTAGCTTGAATCTTGGCCTCAATTGAACTCAACTTTGCACTTGGCTTTCTTCCGACGATAATCAATTCCTCGGTGACTCGTGGCATACCCCGAATCACATCACTCCTCTTAAATGTTGCTCAGATACACCAAAACTTCCCTAACTCTCATTGGCTTGATTGATCAAGGTGGCCTTTAATTTATATAATTCGTGTGCTTGTTGGCTCTCTAACTCATCCACGTTGAGAGCAAAGTTTGATTACAGTAGCGCTTGCAATTATTTTATAAGGAAAAATTGCAGTCATTTTTTTATTCAATTCCCGCAATTATCAATCATTTATGTGAAGACTTTGGTTATATTGATTAGAATGATGTTGGTACAAAATTGGGCGCTCCTTTCCTACTCTTTTCAAGTCCTTATATGTCTGCCACATTGTAAAGGCCTGTTTATGTTTGCTTGAACTAAAAGTAAATTAATTTGAATTAAACTTTTGTGTCTAAATACATTTGCATGTGTTATTTTATCTCTTAATTTGAAGTAAAAAGGTTTTCCATGTTGAAAGTAACTTTATATAACTGTCAACGTAAATAGTTTACATA